GGTGCTGGGGGATTGAACCGCGGTCCCTGTGCTTTGCTAAGCTTGTTCCAAGTAGGTGCTTTAGACCACTGAGCCATCTCTCCAGCCCCCCAAAATTTTATTTATTTATTTATGTGTGTGTGGGGGCCAGCTCAGCCCACGGGGGGCTGGCTGGCATGTGGTGCTGGGGGATTGAACCGTGGGCCCTGTGTTTTGCTTAGCTTAGCTTGTTCTGTCAAGTAGGTGCTTTAGACCACTGAGCCATCTCACCAGCCCTATATTTCCTATGGACTAACAAAGAATGGACAATTCCTACTAAAAACTATGTGAATAAGCAGTAATAAATTTCACTTTTTAAATATCTCCTGAATTTGTTCACTTGCTCCATTTTGAGTATCACCACCATAGTGCAAGATATTACTGCCTCTGAAAACTGTAATAAATAGTATTCTGCTTTGACTGTTACTCATCCTAATTTTTCTTCAAAATGCCCTTGACAAAACGGAGAGAACCATGGCTCTTCCTTGCTCACCCTGGGAACATAAGACTTGGTGCAATGGGTCCGTCCCTTACTTTTCTACTGTAAATTTGTATTTTAGCACTATATTAGCCAGCTGAGCATCTCAGGGTATTTCCATGAGGAATACAGGAAGCTCTGCATTTCACTACTTGTGTTTTACTCGATCTTAAGCATGTGTGGCATAATTTGATAGTTTGCAAAGAAAATAAGTGCAAAATATCAGGGAGAAATTTTCTCAGAAGGTTAGGACTGGAGCGCATAAGAGATTCTGTACGGCAGAGGAAAAAATATTTCTTCCAAGGAACTAAGCAAAAAAAATTGTGGGGCACACTGGAGAGCTACCGGGTAAACAGGGTGGTGCAGCATCGCAAGGACCTACTATGACAACAGGAAATCCAAAAAGATGTCCACTGTGGCCTATAGAAAGTGCAGGAAAACAAAACTTATGTGCTACCAGTGTGAGTGATATTGTGTATGGAACATGCAGTTAGTTGTCACACGTGAAGACTGCCTTGGGTGTGACAGTCGAAGCAAAACTTACTTCTTTGGGAGACTTTTGTTTGTGTTTACACTTAGTTCGCTTAGTGGGTTTTTTGGGCTGTTATCTTTTAGGCATTGTAAGCAAGTACACAGCTGATGTGAAAATGTTGCTGTCTATTTTAAATGCACAATACATATTAAGAATTTAACAGTTTATTTTATTGATATATTTATATCCCTGTTAACTACACTTTGTATAATACATTAGAACCTCCTGACAAGACAGCAAGGCCACTCAGATGTCCAGTACGTCCTACACAAGGGCCAGGAAAGCAAAAGAGGTGCACTGAGTGTAAGCAATGGGTGTGCATGGAACGTGCTGTTGTTGAATGTGCAGACTGCCTTTTTTACGTGTGATAATTGTGCTGTTGGTATTTTCATTGTAGCTCATATGGGAATGTCTTTCTTACGTTCTTTTTTAGACTCTGTACACCAAAAAACAGGTGACATTGAAAATTTTGATTTTTTTTTTTTTTTTTTTTTTTTTTTTTTTTTTGTATTTTAGGGATGGGTCTATAGGGTGTTCAGGGTCTCACTACTAGATCAGACTCGTAGTGATCCACCTGTTTACAGCCTCCCAAGAGCTGAGCTTACAGACATGTGCCACCACATCCAGTCTCAAGTGCCATCTCAGCACATCCCGTGGGCGGGCCCAGCATGACGGGCCCAGGGATCGAAACCCCGGCCCCTGTGCCTGCTTGCAGGTAACATTGTTTAATATAACAAAATTTATAAAATTAATGGGCTGGTGAGATGGCTCAGTGGTCTAAAGCACCTACTTAGAACAAGCTTGGCAAAGCACAGGGACCGCGGTTCAATCCCCCAGCACCACATGCCAGCCAGCCCCGCCCCCTGGTGGGCTGAGCTGTCCCCCCACAAAATAAATAATAAATGAATAAATAAATAAATAAATTTAAAAAAAATAAAATTAAAATTAATAATTCATGACTAGAAATATTCTAAAGAATAAATGTAGATCTGACAGATCCATGTTTGTGTTTACATATAGTTCTGGGTATGACGTCACAGTACATATGTAATTTCAGTACAGTGTGAGGCTGAAGCAGGAGGATCAGAAGTTCAAGGCCAGGACCTGATAGGTCAGTGGACTAAAGTGTCTGCTTAGGCAGAGTTCAGTGGCCAGGGGTTCGATCCCCAGCGTACCATGCCAGCCTCACCCCAGGGCTCACTGAGACAGCAATTGAGATTGGGCTGGTGGCATGCATCTGTAATCCCAGCACTTGGGAGACTGAAAACAGGAGAATCACTGAGTCCAATCTACACAGTGAGAGCCTGTAGACCCTGTCCTAAATAAGAACAAAAAAAAAAAAAAAAAAAAAAAAAAAAGTTCAAGCCCAGCATAGGGAACTGAAGTAGAAAGCCTGTCTTGATATAAAAGGTAAGGGTGGGGGATCTAAAAGCCTTGCAGAACTCCCCAGTTCTGCAGAAAAAGAGGAATTACAGTCACTTAAAAAATAAATGTAGTAGAATAAGTTGGGAGGCATGCAGGCAGGCTGTGCATAATTTTTTTTTTGTTCGTTTTCTGGGGTACCGAGGATTGACCTCAGGACACTGTGCTTGCCAGGTGCGCATTATTTGTAGTCACATGCTTGTTCATGTTCTGCGTTACTGTCTCATGTGCTGCAGATGGCAAAGTGCTGCAGGGCAGCAGCCAGGCTTTGTTCTCCACTCTATTGTAGTTCTACTCAGTTTATGGGAAGGCTCAAATATTTGTTACATGAATAATTTCAGTGACCAGCACGAATCAGAAGGCAAGGAATCAAAGATGATGAATACTACAGGTTGGGTCAGAACTGGAACAGGAAAGTATAACCTTAGTTATAAGAGCCAGGGAGGATGCGATTCTTTCGTTCATTCAAAAAACATTTACAAGGTGCACACACTATGCAGGAGACACTGTGTTAGGCACAGTCTGGGCTGTCATGGAGCTTGTAGTGTGGTCTGAAATAAAGAGACAATTAAATTTAGTGAGACAAATGTAATGAGTGAGTGCAGGCAGGAGCTCCTTCAGGAGCTATCTAGAGACATTTAACTCTGACTTTGGCTGTCAGGAAGGGATTTCTAAATTGTTAGCAGGTAAAAAAAAAAGAGGTTATAGAAAGTGATGCAGGGTATTTGGATGTGAAAAAGCCCAGGGGCAAGCTGGCTTGGATGGCTTATTCCTGAATCCATAGACTTGGGAGTCTGAGGCAGGAGAATGGCAATTTCGTATTTGGATAAGGCACTATCTCAAACTAAACAAAACAAACCAGAGGTACAAGAGCCCCTGGCAGGTTTACTATAGCCTAAAGTTCCTTTTAACCAACAATTTTTTTGAGTTTATGTCATGTGCTAGGCATCATGTTAGGCCTTCATTAAATTTGTATTTTAACTGAAAATAATTTAAAAATGTAAAATTATTCCAGCTGTAGTGATATATACCTATAATCCCTGTACTTATGAGGCTGAGAAAGGAGGATCACTGTGTGTGAGGCAAAAAAAAAAAAAAAAAAGTGAAAAATCCTGTAATCCCAGCACTAGGGAGGCTGAGGCAGAATGAGTGCCACAAGTTTAAGGCCCTCCTAGGATACATAGTGAATTCAAGACTGATCTCAACTACACAGTGAGATTGGCCCAAAAAACAAAACAACAACAAAAATGTGAAAAAAAATTAGTAGAGATCTTTTTTGCCCCTCTGTCCTTAAAATGTTTTGTTGACACTTAATAGTGTTTACCAGTGCAACTAATCTGGACCATGAGAAAATTAAAAAATACCAATGTTGTCCAGTAGAAGTTTTTTGTTATTAGTTTTGAGACAGGGTCTTGCTATGTTGCTCAGTTGGCCTCAAACTCTTGAGATCCTCCTGTGTCAGCCTCCCAAGTGCTGGGATTTTAGACGTGGGTAAACATACCTGAGTAATAGCACTTTTATGGCATGTTTCATATTTGTACCACCCAATGTGGTAGTTACTAGCCACATATTCCCCCCCATCCCACCCCCACCCGTTTTGGGGATTTAACCTAGGGAACACTGTGCTACACGCCACTCTTAATTCTCAGACATGATCTTGCTAAATTGCTTGGGCTGGCCTCAAACTTGATACCCTCCTGCTCCAGCCTCAGGAGTACAGCATAAATATTAACTTTCAGTTAGTGTTAATTTGAGCCAGTTTGTCACATATAGTTAGAGACTTGTCAGACAGTTTAACCCGTTTAAGGGTCAGGACCTTGTTATGGAAACATATGTAGGTTTCCTTCCAATCTAAAAATCCAAATTGTTAATAAATGGCTATAAAATCTCTAAATGCTGAGTTGTTGAATGCCACCTTATGTAATAAACGTCTATCCATTGTGACAAGACATAATTATCATCTCGTCGCGGGGCAGTAATTAGCCTCACTTGCAGGCATCTACACAGACACCCAGTCATACGCGGAGAAAATGTGGAAGTCCCTAATCCCGCCCACTCCAGGCTGCACTCGCGGCCTTCTGTCATCTCGAACTGGATCATGGGTTCTGTAGTTCACTGTTTTCAAGACGTCACTGCCGTTTTCTCTACGGCTGAATTTAGCTCTCGGTTGACTTCCGGTAGCCCGTTGTCTTCTGGGAATCGTAGTCAATTGATACCTGTTGGACGTCGTATTTCACCCCCTAGAAACTACAATTCCCGGCAGGCTAAGGGATGCCCTCGGCTGTGGTTAGTGGCTAACGCGGCGATTGCCTCAGCAGGCTCTAAGCGTGCTTTGGTATCTGGTAGGGCTGGCTTCTTGGAGGAGAGAAGAGAGGTTGTAATCACTCCTGTGAGGGAATCATCTGGGTCAGTGTAGTGGATTTTGAGAGTCTGCGTGGCGAAGTCATGGTGGTGAGTTTGGGCGGGAAGAGAACCCAATGGGCGAGGCCTAGGAGCCCGACTGGTCAGTCACTTAGGGGCTGGTCCCTACGCTAGGGATCGTGTAGAGGAGGGAAATCCCTTACTAAAAGAGAGGTTTTTGTCCTTCATGCTTAAGGCATGACTGCTTTGCAAAACTATTTGCCCTTTTTCAGGCCAGCCCTGCATTCTTATGTAGCCCAGGCTGGCGTCAAATTCGTGGCGATGCTCCTGTCGGAGCCTCCCGAGTGCTGGGATTACAGGCGTGCGCCACCATGCGTGGCGTACTTGCCGTTTCTTGCTCGCTGAAGATTTTAGCAACCTGAATGACGTGTGGTGTTTCTCTGTAGTTTTTTTTTTTTTTTTTATGAATGAGGCTATTTATTAACCCAGCATCCTTTGTTCTAATGCTTCTTGTTGGCAGCTGCCACCTGTCCGGCGATTCTGTCCAGATCTCTCTGTCCCTGAGGTGTCAGCTTGCGGCCCCCGTCTTGGTCCTTTTCCACCATTTTTAGCCCCTCTAGGGCTTGGAGGACTCGGCGTGCCACACTCTTGGAACTTCGGCTGAAGTGGCTGGGCATGACGCCATTCCTTTGACAGCCACCATAGATCTTGGTCATGGAGCCAACCCCAGCACCACCCCGGAGGTATAGGTGCCGAGCTGTGGAAGCAGCTCGGGTGTAGAACCAGTTCTCATCGTAGGGAGCAAGCTCTTTATGGTTGGCCAGCTTCACTGTGTCCACCCATTCGGGGACTTTCAGCTTCCCGGACTTTTTGAGGAAGGCTGCCAGAGCTCTGACGAACTCCTGCTGGTTTACGTCTTTCACAGTAACTCCAGGCATCGTGCGGCCTCCGCGCTGCCAGCCAGGGGAAAGGGCTCTCTGTAGTTTTAAAAACCTGGATGGAGAAAGGAGTGTGTAATATTGACTTCTTTCAGCAAAAAAATTTGAACGCCTCCTCGTGAAACACAGATCTACGTACATTTTTCAGGAGTGTGCAGGGGCTTACACACCTACTAAAGTATAGGAAAAATACTATGTCAGATACCCACCCACCGCTGTGGAAAAACAGTCGCGCAGACGGCGGGTTGGCGAGGGAATAGGGGTGGAAAGTACGGATGCAGTTTTAGAAAGTGTGGTCAGGCAAAGCTTTGCTTAGAAGTAGATAGAAAAGAGAAAAGAGTTGGAAGTCACACAACTACATGGGGGAACAGATCTCCAGGTGGAAAGAACAGTGTGAGTGAAAAGCTAGGCGAGTTGTACAGATAAAAGACATCAAACCAGGGGGCGGGTGTAAGTCCTATAAAGTGTTCATGTGGCTGTAAAACGTTGTGCTTGTGTGTGCGTATATGTATATGTATATGTATATGTATATGTATATGTATATGTGTTCAGATAGTGTCTTGCTATGCAGTTCAGGCCGGCCTGGAACTCAGTATGTAGCCCAGGCTGGCCTTGAACTCGCTGGGATCCTCATGCCTCTGCTTCCCATGTGTTGGAATCAAGGTGTGTGCCAGTACACCTGGTTAAATCGCTATATTTTCATTGGAGTACTGTGCATAGTAATGACAAGACTTCATTACCCAAAAATTATCACACTGATTACTATGTTGAGAGGGTGATTGATTAAACAGACATGAAAGCAGACAAGAGCAGTAAGAGTTCTGAGTAATCATTTGGGGGAGGATGGATACTTGGGCCAGGTGGAATGTAGTGGTGGACAGAAAGCCTACTTGCAGAGTGGATTCAAGAAAGAATAGGAGGGCGGGGAGATGGCTCAGTAGAATAAGCGCTTCCCTGGCAAGTGCAAGGGCCTGAGTTCAATCCCGGATTCTGAAAAAAAAAAAAAGAAGAAGAAGAAAGAATAGGAGCCAGACAAAGTGGTGCTTACCTGTGATCCCAGTGAGTTTGAGGTGAGCCTGAACTGCATAGTGAGAGATCCTGTCTCAACAAAACCAATAATAAACCCCCTCATAAAAGACTGTTATTGGGGCTGAGGAGATGGCTCAGTTAAAAAAGCGCTTCCCTAGCAAGCGCAAGGGCCTGAGTTCAATCCCACTTCTGCAAAAAAAAAAAAAAGACTTATTGCTGATTGTGGTGGCAGGTATCTGTAGTTTCAGCACATAGGCTGCTGAAGCAGGAAAATCACAAGTTTGAGTCAGCCTGCACTGTGTGGCCACTTTGGACAACCTGAGACTTTGTCACAAAAACAAAAGAACAACTAAAAAAGAGTGGAAGAAAGGACTGAGGAAGTGGCACATGATTATACATTTGAATTCCACCTCAGGCTGGGGATATAGCTCAGTGGCATAAATGCCTGGCAGGCAAGTATAAGGTCCTGAGTTCAATCCCCGGTACTGCAAAAGAAAAAAAATAGAAGAGAAAGTCCCACTTGGGCAATTTAGCAAAACTCTGTCTCAAAATAAATGAAAAGGGCTGGGGATATAACTCACTGATACAGCACACCTAGGTTCAGTCCCATTATAAATAAGCAAATTTGGGCCGGTGAGATAGCTCTGCGGACTATGCACCTGCTTAGGCATGCACAGGGGCCAGGGTTCGATCCCCAGTACCACAGGACCTGCTGGCCCTGCCCCCAGGCACACTGAGCCAGCAGAATCTAGCCGAGATGGTGGATACCTGTAATTCCAGTGTTGGGGGTCTGATACAGTGTCACTACAAGTTCAAGCTGCCATGGTGAGACCCTGTACCAAATACACAAAAATAAAAAAAATGAATAATAAATAAGCAAATGGGAAAGAAGTGACGAAGGAATTTTTCTATAAAGGCAAGAGGATAAATTGAGTAGTAAATGAGTCACAAGACTTTTTAAAAGAAAAGTAGGAAAAACAGTGCTTTTAGGAATTATCTTATGGAAGAGGCTTATTGATATAGAGATGTTTGCTGGAAGGCTGTTCCTGAATTGAGTAGAAGGGGGGCGAAACATCCTGCTTACAGAACAAGCAAGAAAAAAGGCAGAGAACATCTGTGCATAGATGTGTGTAGCGAGTAGTAGCTGTGGTGGGGAGCTTTGGGAGTTGCTCACTTGTTTTCTCAAGGTGTTGCAGGCTTGAGGAGGGAGGAGACACTGAAACAATTGGCTACGACAGTGTAGTCCCTAAAACTTCCTATGGTGATAGGATGTTCTGTGTTGACAGCATCTAATTTGACATCGACTAGCCACGTTGGCCACTGAGCATTTGAACTATGACTAGTTCAATTAAATACTGAATTTTTATTTTATTTTAGGGAAGGGTTTATAGGGTATTCAGGGTCTCACTATTAGATTGGACTCGCAGTGATCCACCTGTTTACAGCCTCCTAAGAGCTGGAATTACAGGCATGTGCCACCATGCCCAGTCATTTGCCATCTCAGCAGGGGCAGGGCCAGCATGAATTTTTAAATATAACTTAACATTGAAACTAAATAGGTGTTTTGATTGTGGTTACTCTTATGGATAGTATACATACTAAAGCTTGAAAAGTGCTACCTAGGGGTAGTGACTAACTTTCAGAAATTAGTAGTATTAAGGGGGTGTTGTGGTATACACTTGTAATCACAGCTGCTTGAGAGGCTGAAATGGGAGGTTAGAGAGTTCAAATCTAGCTTCCACAAACTTTGGATAAAAAAAAACCGAATGAGGTCAGGTGTGGTGGTGCATGCTTGTAATCCTAGCCCTCAGAAGGCAGAGGCAGGAAGGTCACCAAGAATTTGAGGCCAGCCACAGCTATATATGGAGACCCTGTCTCAAACAAAAACAGGGGGCCAGGGAGATGGCTTAGTGGAATAAGTGCTTCCCTGGCAAGCGCAAGGGCCTGAGTTCAATCCCCGTTTCCATCAAACAAACAAACAACCCCCCCCCAAAAAAAAAAAAAAAAAAAAACCAAACATCTCCTCAAAACCAAAAACAAAAAAATCAGAAATCAGTAGTATTGCTTGGCATCACTAAGATCAGTTAATCTGGTTCAGCGTTTCCTCCTATCATTTTCACCACCTAGAGAGATGAGCATAGGAGGTAGATAAATGAGTTGGAGTTCTGCCACATGGGAGTGATGAGGTGGGAGTGGGTAGGAACTAGGAGTGATTGATCAAATGGATAAGGGTGAGATGAGGGGGGAGGTTTGGTAGTGAAAAGGGGGTCAGATTCAATAGAACCTCATATGGTTGAAGGATTTTGAGAAGTGGACATTTTTGTTGTTTTGAGACGGGGTCTCAGTTGCAAAATTGTGCAGGCAGGACTCATACTTGTGATCTTCCTCACTTAGTCTCCCAGAGTGCTGTGATTATAGGCATGTGCCACCATGCCTGGCCAAACAACTCTGTTATACACAAATTATTCTCTCTGGCCAGGCAGGTGAGAACACAGTATTAGAAAACCTGGGTAGAACCTGTGTACAGTTCTATAGGTAATAGGCTGTTCCCAGACATGGGCAGAATAACAAGAAAAAGCAGAAATTAGAGCTAGAGAGGAGGGTGTTTACCAACTCTATGATTGCTGCGTTGACTACTGAACTTCAGATTTGTTGTCTATGAAATGAGGATCACTGTTTTGCTTTCTTGTTAATGTTGTTAAAACTGAGTTAGTTAATATAAAAGTGTCTTAAGTACTGCAGAATCCTATGACTATATGAAAAGATCTGTTATCTATTTCAGTGATTTGGGCTTGCACAGGAGAACTATTTGTAGGTTGGAACATATAAAGGGGGAGAGGTCATCAGTCTGTTAGTCAGCAGCTCAGTTTGTATGAACCCATTTTTTTTTTTGAGGAAAGCTGCTGAAATATAGAGTGGACTGTTTTCTTTTATGTCCAACAGGAAAGGAAGGGAACAGCCAAAGTTGACTTTTTAAAGAAGATCGAAAAAGAAATCCAACAGAAATGGGAAACTGAGAAAGTGTTTGAGGTCAACGCATCTGATCTGGAGAAGCAGCCCTGGTGAGTAAACTGCCCTGTGGAAGTTACGTTAGTAAGGTAGAAAGTGTCTGAAGTGGGCTGAGGGAGCTGACTTCTATCTTCTGCATTCAGCTCAGCATCATTTTGCCTGCACACCTAGGGTTTTTCCTATGTGAAAGGTTTTGGGTCTTAACTGTGAGGTACAAGTTGGCCTTCATACTCATGACAGTCAATCCTCCTCCCAAGGATTTTTTTTTTTAAGTAGTAGTTTTTAT